TTTTTTCTCCTTTGACTTCCACATAACTTCTCTGCCCTGCACTTTTACAGATGCCTTCTGGCTATAAATACTAATGACATTTTTTTGCTTAATTCAATTTTGCTGGTACACTTACAGTTACGACCAAAGGTTCCCACGAGAGAGGCTGATTGAACATTCGAGAAACTTATGGAAAGAAGCAAACATTCTAAAGAACTGGACTGACAATTTCCATAATTATAGAATTCACAGCCCTAATGACCTTAAAAAACAATAAAAAAAAAAAGCTTTCGTGTTAATTCCATTTCTGCGGCTGACATTCAGAATCTCTAATTTCTCGCAGGACAACAAATTTACTTTTTCAAAAAATTTTTTTTTTCTGAAAGAGCAGTCTATCCTTTTTACCCTAGATTATATTTTCTGAATATGGAAGGATTTTCATTGAATATTTAACGTTTCTTTGTCTTTTAAAAGTCGGAATATTTATGGTCCTTACGATGCTCTGACTGATTTATAGCAATCAATTACAATAGTGCTTTTTTCAAATGGCTCTTTTAAAAATGAAGTATAGAATAATTAAAAAGATCACGAATCCTCCCTTGCATATAATTATTTCATTATTTCATTACATTGCAGAAACTGTTTTTGCTGACTGCGAACAATTTTAATTGAGCAAACTCTAAAATATGGTAGGGTAGCAGGCAGCTCTCCCAAAGCATAGAGCCGACTGATGCTCAAAATTTGTATTCTATACGAGGACAGTCTATGGAGCTATGCGATAATAAAATCTCAATGTCTAGTTGGTGTGGAAATCATACATTTTCCTAATTTATCAGTGCATAACTTTTATTTGGGATTATATAATTATTTTTAAAAACAGTTATCCCAAAGTATGAATATCAGTATTTTATTTTTAAGATCACTGTCATATCTTTCGACTTGTAATGATGTTTCTATGACGTTTCCATTCACACAAATATATATATATATCAGTCCAACTATATACATTAAATTATATTCTATTATACATGTATGTATCAGTGTGTGTATACCTGTATGTGTAAATACTTGACTTTAATCATCCTTACATCCTTTATCTTAATTATTAGTTTTCTTTTTTTTTTTTTACATTTATTTAGACATGTTTATACCTGAAAATTCTATTAAAATAAAAAAACCATTTAATTATAATAGTCTTAAAATTATATTTGTGTATGCAAATCACTACAAATTAATACATAGATTTTCTCTTTTCTGTTTGAACTTGCCAGATAGTATGTATTTTCTTCAAATAAAAGGTCAATTGAGGAGAACTGTTTTGAGAAAGTTGTTAGAATTAAACTACACTTCCTTTACGCCCAACAATCCAAGTGATCACTGTTACTCACCTCAACAATTTATTACACACATGTCAAAAGAACAATTTTACATCCATAAGGTGAAAGATGAGGGAGATACCTACCTTATTGAAATGAGGACTTCACAAGACATTCTGTATGAGTTACACATTCTGTAAAACCTACCATGATCCACAACTCATGATGGTAGGTTCCCAAATGGAAAGACAGACTGGTAATTGAATAATATTATATTATAAATACTTTGTTCTCTTATTGCTTTTTTGCTTCATTCTACCTTGAAAGCAATCCAACTGTGCCATACACTTCTATGCTCTTCACTGCCAAATGTGAAGAAGGACCTTCAGCACAGTGCTAATTTTTGACATCTATTATTCTTAAAAGAGGGATGTATAGAGAACTCAAAACTTTTGGCCTCACAGTTAAAGTGTCTGTTGGCTACACTGGTCTATCCTGATGCTGCCTTCGTTTCAAGCAAAATAAACTCATTATGCAATTTGCCCAATTCACTAGCAGAAAATTGAAGGGTTCCATTTGGTATTTGTATCAATTGATGCCAAAGAACCTATTGCCAGGTTGAAAGTTTCCTTGATATAATCTGAAGTGGGGCTTACACCCTCATTCTGAATATTAATCATCATAAGCCGATACCAGGATCTTTAGGCAGCTCTCGGAGGACTAAGCAGGACTAGCAGATCTGACACGGCTGTCCATTGTTTAGCCTACGGTTTGTCATTGCTGGTAATGCTTTGTACAAAGAGTACAAGTGAGAAACAGCCATTATAAAGTAAATATAATGGCTCAGTGCTCAGTGTTTCATATTGTCTTCCTTGAATTTGAGCAGATCCCTACCAGTCTTTGCAGATGAGCGGCAGATGATTTGTAGACTGCCAAACCTCAAAATGAATTTCTCAAAGTCCATTCCAAATAGGTTTGCAATGTCTAAAGAGAGAGCCATCAAGTTCTCCATAGCTTTTTCTCGGAGACTTGCAAAAACTCACTTATAGTACCTATGTGGTTATCTAATTTCATTATGTTATGTTCTACACCCAGTTCTCAAACTTCTCTCTTTGCGTTATATGAGTAGCACTATCGAAACCACACCATTGTTACCATATACCCTACTTCGAATGTACATAACGAACACACAATGCTAGCCACTACTTCAACCCTGAAACATGACTTATCCTTCAATAAAAAAGTATTTAAAAAAAACACACATAGCAGTATTTTTTGCTTTCTTCTTTTTTCTATCTTAATGACCCCTTTTATTTATAAATGCAGATATATGAAATGGCAAACCCATAAACCCTCGATATTCACAGATTTTTACAGAGGAGGGGGATGTTGGTGGCGGTGGGGTCATGGGGTCCAGAAAATGACTTGAGTTTAACTGATGGAGTGTATGCAACAACCTTGCAACTGATTAATGTTTGCTATGAGAAGGAGGCTGAAATGGAATCCCCCTTTTTTCCTTGTTTATCTCTTTAGCAGTTGATAAATTACCCCATGGATTCTTTGAGCCTTTGCAGAAATAAAATATACAAATACAAGTCTTATCTCCAGTCTTGGAAGTAAACAGGACAAATACGAAAGAAAATATGTTTTTAAAAAAAGGTTATAGGTATGTGGAACTATAGATATACAGAGTCTGTAAAGAAAACACCAAATTGCAGTGGATTTAAAACCAAACTAAAACATTTAGGTAAAAATAGCCAAGCTGAGACTATAGCACAATGAGAGAATTTCTCAAAATCAGCAATTTTGGTCTAAATTTTGTATTTTCATTTTCTAATATTTTATAATGAATAACCCCAAAAATTCACAAAATTATTATTTTCAAATGTGTGTCTTCCCATTCTTGTCTAATAAATTCCCATCTTGGAAACTCTAGAGGTAAGTGACAGTAATAGCTGGTGGTGTTGTTACAGGGGCGTCAGGGATAACACTATCTATAACAGTGCTGTGCGTTTTTTTGGTTGTGAAAGAAATATGGAATTATCATGTAAAATTCCAGCTTAGACAAGCATTGCACAGACAAGATAGGAGCAGTCTAGAAAATCAATGGCTGTCATCATGATAAAGAAACACTCGCTTCCGCTGGATCTGAACGGCAGAGAAAAAGAAAAGGATGTGATAAATGTTTCAAGTTATTTTAGTTAAATAAAATACAATGTATGAAATATTCACATAATCCCGAGGTCAGTAAATAACGCTCAGCAGACCCCATGAGAATGCATAACAGTGATTTTATCAGAAAATTATCCATTGATTATGGAGACATTGTGATTAACCAATGAGAAAACAGGTTTGAGAGGTTTATGAATAACTCCACATTCATTCGATGGCATTATTTCCCTTTAATTCACTCTTCATCGGTATCGATCTGTTACTTGATGTTCTATGGTTAGAGTCAATGTTAGGGTTGACATTAATTGTTAGGGCTAAGATTAGTGTTAGAATTAGGGCTAGAAATAGTGTTACAGGGTTGTTTACTAAAATGAGATTAAAAGTGAACTGAAAGGGAATTTCAAATTTAAGATCACAGTAGCTGCATTGAAAGCATAGCTGACTTAGATAATTTTTCAAGTTCAGCTATTTTGATCTTAAAGGACCACTATAGTGCCAGGAAAACATACCCCACCCTCAGGGTCCCCCTCCCGCCCGGCTCTGGAAGGGGGAAATGGGTTAAATCTTACCTTTTTCCAGCGCTGGGCGGGGAGCTCTCCTGCTCCGATCCTCCTCTTCTCCTCCCCGTCCGCTGAATGCTGCGAAAGAGCTGCGCGCGCATTCAGCCAGTCACATAGGAAAGCATTCATAATGCTTTCCTATGGACGCTGGCGTGCTCTTACTGTGAAAATCACAGTGAGAATCACGCAAGCGCCTCTAGTGGCTGTCAATGAGACAGCCGCTAGAGGCTTTGGGGGAAGGCTTAACCCATTCATAAACATAGCAGTTTCTCTGAAACTGCTATGTTTATGAAAAAATGGGTTAACCCTAGCTGGACCTGGCACCCAGACCACTTCATTAAGCTGAAGTGGTCTGGGTGCCTAGAGTGGTCCTTTAAATTTGACATTCACTTTTAATTCATCTTCAATTCTCACTTTAGTGAGTAACCCTGTTAGTGTTAGGGCTAGGATTGGTGTTAAAGTTATGGGTAGGATTAGCTTTAATTTCGAGGCTAGGATTTAGGGTAGGATTAGTGTCAATGTTAAAGTAGGATTAGTGTTATAATTAGGATTAGTGTCAATGTTAGGGTAGGATTAGCATTAATGGTAGAGCTAGGATTAGTGTTAATGTTAGGGCTAGGATTAGTGTTACTGGTAGAGCTAGGATTAGTGTCAATGTTAGGGTAGGATTAGTATTAATGGTAGAGCTACGATTAGTGTTAATGGTAGAGCTAGGATTATTGTTAATGTTAAAATAGGAACAGTGTTAATGTTAGGGTAGAATTAGTGTTAATGTTAGGGTAGGATAAGTGTTAATGTTAGAGTAGGATTAGTATTAATGGTAGAGCTAGGATTACTGTTAATGTTAGAGCTAGGATTAGTATTAACTAACACGTTTCATTCAATATCCTTTGAATTTCATCAGGGGTATAAAGCAAAGTTCTTCGTGAAGGCATAAAATGAAGAAATACCGGTGGTCGGCTTTTAAATCCATCTAGTGTTGGCGCGAGACGTTTCGGACCAGTCCGTATGTAAAAGGACACTTCCGGGTGCATTGCTCGGATCACTTCCGGGTACGTCACTAGGATGCTTTGTACATCAAGCCTCTCTTTTGTGCTGCATCCGGACGTGCGGACGTCAGCATCAAGGACAACGATGCGTTCCACTTGCCTGCATGCATTCCACCACTCATTAAGGAGTGTAATTAGTCCGTATTGTCCATAGAAAACATAAAAATTAGGCAAATATTGCAAAAGATAATTAGTAAATAACCCCCAAAAAAAGATAATCGATCTGGCATAAAATAAATAAAAACATAGACATACAAAATTACTAAATAAATCTTAAATAAACAAGATTATTAATAAAAGGTAAAAAAGAAGAATCCATAAAATCAATCTAAAAGACACTATTATAAAGAACACTATTATAAAAAGCACATCAAATCAAAATCAACATTCAGTCCCCTTGGTTGCATAGTTTTAATGTGTGTATCCAATAACCCTCTCTTTTTCTTAGATGCATCAAGAGGTCACCACCTCTTTCATCTAAAGTCACCTGTTCAATGACTTGGATTAGTGTTAATGTTAGAGCTTCGAATAGTGTTAACGTTGGGGTAGAATTAGTGCTTTTAGGGTAGGATTAGTATTAATGTGAGAGCTAGGATTAGTGTTAATTTTAGGACTAGGATTAGTGTTAATGTTAGGAGTAGGATTAGAGTTAATATTAGGACTAGGATTAGTGTTAATGTTAAAACTAGGATTCGAGTTAATGTTAGGAGTAGGATTAGTGTTAATGTTAGGACTAGGATTAGTGTTAATGTTAGGAGTAGGATTAGAGTTAATATTAGGACTAGGATTAGTGTTAATGTTAAAACTAGGATTCGAGTTAATGTTAGGAGTAGGATTAGTGTTAATGTTAGGACTAGGATTAGTGTTGATGTTAGAGCTAGGATTAGTATTAATGGTAGAGCTAGGATAAGTGTTAATGCTAGGACTAGGATTAGTATTAATGTTAGAGCTAGGATTAGTGTTAATGTTAGAGCTAGGATTAGTGTTAATGTTAGGGTAGGATTAGTGTTGTTAAGGGTAGGATTAGTATTAATGTGAGAGCTAGGATTAGTGTTACTGTTAGGGTAGGATTAGTGTTGTTAAGGTTGGATTAGTATTAATGTTAGAGCTAGGATTAGTGTTAATGTTAGGACCAGGATTAGTGTTAACTTTAGGGTAGGATTAGTGTTAATGTTATGGCAGTATTAGTGTAAATGTTAGGGTAGGATTAGTATTAATGGTAGAGCTAGGGTTAGTGTTAATGTTAGAGCAAGGATTAGTGTTAATGTTAGGGTAGAATTAGTGCTGTTAGGGTAGGATTAGTATTAATGTGAGAGCTAAGATTAATGTTAACATTAGAGTAGGATTAGTATTGTTAAAGTAGGATTAGTATTAATGTTAGGGCTAAGATTAGTGTTAATGGTAGGGTACGATTAGTATTAATGTTAGAGCTAGCATTAGTGTTACTGTTAGGGTATAATTCGTGTTAATTCTAGGGTTAGGATTAGTGTTAGAGTAAGGATTATTGTTACTGTTATGGCTAGGATTAGTGTTAGAGTTAGGGTTAGTGTTTCGACTAGGATTAATGTTAATGTTAGGCCTAGGATCAGTGTAAGTGTTATGATAGGATTAGAGTTAGGATTAGGGGTGTAAGTGATTGATGGGTTGCACACTAGGCAGGTTCTTAGAGAGTTTGTTTAATGAAAGGGTTACACTGAAGGCAGCACAGTGGTAATATGCATTTCTGGCTTGGGGTGGTCCCAACCCCAACCTATATACTGGTTACAATATGATTACAAAACCATGATTTATAAAACCAACACAAAAACAAACAATAGGTTGATACATCCTTACTTAATATTCAAGCATAAAGTGATTGATTATTCTCTACAAATATAATGAGGTTGAGACTTTCCTGGGCGTTTAGCCAAACAAGAATATGGGAGGCACAAGAGGCATCCATATTTAGGTTTTCACAAACCACACTTCAAGAACAAGATATATTGTAAATAAAATCAGCATTTCATGCCAAGAAAGAAAAGACAAATGTTAGGCAAATAATGAGAAGTAGGAGAGTCAGCTGAAATAACTTTGTGTGCTTAAAAAATGCCAAGGTCCTTCAAAAGACCTCTGGAACTATGGCAGATACGAACAAAACGATGATTAGTCATTAACTCATTAACCATTCTCTCCTAGTAAGCAGACAAACCTCCATTTTCCTTACAGTGGTAATATTAGGGCTAGGATTAATGTTGGTGTTATAATTTGGGTTAGTTCTAGTATTTTCTTTAAAGTTATTGAAGCGGCCTGAAACTAGAAGATACAAGTACAGCTACAAGTACAGTTCTTTCAAAATTATAACCCAACTAAAATATTACATTACCATTTGCTATGCCTGTGATCGCAATATATCGGTGCCTTATCTGTTGTCCAATGACGCTATGCCAGCCTTTCTGTTGGTTGAACATTATGGTTAGAACTATGAAGCATTACACATGGAGGCACAAAGATTTGTCATTACTCCTGTTTCCATTGACATGTTTGTATAAGATGGGACATTGGGACGTGGGGAGTTTGCATTATTTTAGGGTTTGTTATTAAAATGGGAATTGATCAGAGAATGGCAAATCTTAGGATTAAATAATATCCAAACTGATAAAATACTCCAAATCAGCTATTGGTTGTTTCCCATCTTAGTAAATAACCCAGCAAGTGGCATGAATCAACAAGCCTTGTGAAATAAGCCTTGTGAAATAAGCCTTGAAGGGCATATATACAGGAACCGGTCTCCGTTTTACTTGCTGCCTGCAAAACCTATACCAGCAGAAGAATAACTGAGAATGGTAATTAACTAAATCACAATCTACAAGCGAGTGACCTTAGCGTTTTAATTTTTCCAACCTCATAACAGATAAATGACTCCACTTAAAACACAGATTATACTGCAAATGGGCAACATCAGGTCACTCAACCCCCCCTTCTTCTGTCGTAATAATTATGTGTCATAAACTAAGCTGATCGATTGTAAAAAGAGGAAAATATTTGGAAACAGAGGACTATGAATTATGATATAGGAACGGAGGTTGTATTGAAGAGAAAAGAGTTGTTGCCGTTATGTGTCTGTCATGTCAACAACAAATATCACATTATTGGTTGAAACGGCCATTGCTGCCCCAGGCTATTCTTTCTTTATGACTCCTTAGTGATAAAATGAGGTGGACACAAATTATCCACTATAAACTCAATAAGAGTGGATTGCGCTGTGTGGTGTATTTCCGTACTGTTACGATTACAGCAGATCTATAATTTAATGTTTGGTAAAGTTGACGTTTCTGATCAGTAGTTAGTCCGAGGTAAGAGGTAAATTTTTTTTAAACATAGAATGTGGTGGAAAATTAAAAACAATTGGCCAATTTCCTGATCTTGTGCTTAACTTATTTTATATTTGGAATAGTCTTGTACAAACCCCAAAATTATTCCAGTGGAACCATAATAGTCTTTATATATATTTTGCAGCTTGTAAGTGCCAAAGAGCAGCATTCTGATCCTATTGCGGTGATGATTGAAGTCACACGTTTATTCATTAATTGTTCTATGTGATACAATATGAGCTTTTTACATGGACAGAGGCATTTGACCATATCATTATTTGTTCTTTGTGGACCTCTACAGCTGTTGCAGACACCATATCTACCTTAGAATTCTACAGAATACCTTTAGTTATATCATTCTTATTGTGATAAGGCCCCAGCTAATGAATAGGTTAGATAACCAACTCCATGAATTTGGCAGAGCAGAAGTATGTGGTGGTCGGTATGATTAGTTTAAAATCCTAAATAAAAATATGTAAGAAAAAAAATGGCTTAATAAAAAATTATGAATGCTTTTATTCTGATTGCATGTTCGGTCAACATTAAGATAGAAACAGGACATAATTAATATCTAGTAAAGTGCGATAATAGCTTGTGTTAGAGTGTGAAAGGGTGCTATTTTTAAGAAAGGTCAGCTCTAGGTACCCTCTGCTCTTTGAGCTCAGGATCCCAAATCAGTAAGCAGCTATTCAATAATCCTCAACCTGTACCGAAATGTACCAGCACCAAGCATTGTTCCCTGGTCAGAAGACCAGAAGACACTTAGGTCAATGTCTACAGACTAAGTGTGACCATGAATTTAATTTCTGCTAAATTCATAGGATGCTATGATTTACTAATTCTTCTTAATTTTTCTTCTGCTTTGGACAATGTAAACTACTGGCTTCTTCATCCCACCTTCCATAACCTTTGTTTATCCTCTGTAAACCTGGCCACCATGACTCTGGTCTTTCATAGTTCTCATATCACCTTTCTCAATGTTCTTTAAACGTCCTCTTTTCTGGCCTCTACTCCACACTACCTCTTTGCAACGGTGCACCGGTGTTCCCCACTGTCTTTTATGGGACTCCTTTTGTTCTGGCAGATGATCCAATCAATTCTTTGGATTTAACACATACAGTCAATCTTAAAATCCTGCCGTGTTCATCTTAAATCAGTATTGATCAGCACTAAGAACAGTAATCAGCACTGATAACAAGAAATCAGCATTGATAACGAATGACAGAGTGCCTGGTCTGACACATTTTAAGACTTTCTTTTAACTAATTCCAATTATGACTTAGAAAGTCCATGAATTATTAAAAATGTAAACTTTTTGCAAAAGATTGAGGTTACCTTGTTGTTTTTCTTTTTCATTTTTGTTGTACAAATTACTATAGTAATTGTTAATATGTTACATTATAGTTAACACGTTTATGAGATATCATAAAGTTAAGGATTACAACATAACAACGTGTAATAAATGCACATTTAAACTGAATAGCTCTGCTCTAAAACACATGTTTTTCAAGAACTGTGCCCCCATTTAACATTTACTGAAAACAAGCTTTACAGTCAGCAGATTTTGATTTCCTGAAACATTGTCTCAAGAGCAGTGTGTATTCAGGAATGATATATTTGTTTTGGCAAAAAAATGGTGGAAGAATGGATGAAGAATGGTGTCGGAATGCACCTACCAGTGCACTGTAAAATATCTGCATAATATTTATATTATGTATACATTTAGAAGTTCACTGATTGGCCCATCTCCATGTAATTTTTGGTTTGTCTGATTCATTTTCCAGAATCTTTTTCATGGATGATATTTGGACGAACTGAACCGCCAGCTGAATAAGTGTTAGAGATAAATTAAACTTTTTGAAAAAAATTCCCACAGTTTGGCTGAACCATGTTTTTTGGCCACGCTTCAGTCTACATGTTACTAATTGCTCTTGTCTGCTTTCCCACAGTTTAAAAAAGATTTGTAGTAGGATACATAGCTACGTATAGTTACATAATAATCAAGGTTGAAAAAAAGACTGTAGACCATCAAGCTGAACCTTTAAAGGACGTCTCTTTATCCTGGCGATCCAAAAGAAGGCAAAAAAAACAAAAACAATTTCACATGATCAGAATATAATTTTGCCTCTATATAAATCAATGGTAATACCCCCATCTTGAATATGCAATGCAATTTTGGGCACCTGTTCCAACGGAGCATATTGCAGAACTAGAAAAAGTGCAGAAGCGAGATACAAAATTAGTAAAGGGAATGGAAAACTTTAGTTATGAGGAAAGGGTAGAAAAGATGGAATTTGTGTTCTTTAGAAAAAAAGGTGCCTCAGTGGGGATATGATAGCACTATACAAATATATACAGAGTCAGTACAAACCACTTGGTGCTAGCCTGTTCATTAGCAAGAATGTACAATAGACAAGAGGTCACCCATTCAGACTGGAAGAAAAGCGTTTTCACTTACAGCATAGGAAAGTGTTCTTTATAGTAAGAACAATAAAGAAGTGGAATTCTCTGTCAGATTCTATAGATAGTTTAATAAGAAGGCTTGGATGCTTTTTTTTTGCAAGTGGTGGCCAATTATGTCACCAAAAGTGAAAGAAAATTCCTACTTAAGGTTTTAATTATAATCACATTTTTTTTGTAAAAAAATCAAATTTTCTTGGTGTATAAATTTCAATATGGCAATGAGTGACTTTTTTTTATAATCACATTCAGGTCTGTCTTTAAGATTATCTACAGAACTTGAAAAGGCAACCTCTTCTGAGATAAAAAGTCATAGAATCTTTATTTATGGTATAAAATATTTGTTATTTAAAAAAAAAAAAATTCTTTATTTTTAGTGTGCATAGACTGTACAGGTATGCCTGCTTCGCCACAACAGCTGGTGCAGGCGTTTCAATAAACACAGAAAAACATTTGTTTGGCATACGAACAGTGCACATTTTTAGGTTAGTACAGGAGTATTGGAACAAGCTATGTCTAATAGGGCAATGATTAGGAATTAAAACTAAGCTGAGGATCATTGTAGTGTTGTCCCATTAAATATATAACAAAAACCACTGGGTAAGCAATTAAACATGAGAACATAGATAGCCTGCGTCTTGGTAACTGATGAATTGCGGTGTGTTTGCTATTAGGTATGCCTATGCTTGACAGGTAATGACCCATTATCCAGAACGAGTGTTCACAGGAGGCCTACTTATCTGCTTCCCCCCGGCACAGGACCGGAGCACAGTCCAACCCAGCAGCCTCACACCACTTTCGTTGAGATGCATACAGGACCTGTTTCCGTCGGGCATCTGCAAGTCGCACTGGGTATGTGCCATATGCGGATGTGAGTGGAATATATGGAGACTTCTCTTGCTGGTCCGTGGCCCAGTTGTATAGTAGTGCACAGGTATACCAAGCCATTGGTGGCGAAGCTATTCTTGAGGTCTCTGCCTCCATGTTCTCTCTCCGCCGGCGTTAGGGTGGAGCGGTGCTGTATTTACAAACCCTTGTGTTCTTCGGTGAGTTCTGACAGGTGAGGTAGTGGTATGAGAGCGGGTGACTATGCGGGTCCAGAAATCTCTGCACACTTTATTGAACCTAGCTTCGAATCGCTGACTCCAGTCTAGGTTCTCCAAGCTTACTTGTTGCTGTGGGGGCCTTGGTATAGCGGCCATTTTAGACCTGCCACGCAGTCCTAGGCACCTTGTATTTCATGCTATACAGGTCGTTAGTGTATCCAGTGGGGACCAGGATAACCACCACCGGTCCAAATGGTGGGGAGCAACAAGGCTTCTGTGGCCACACTTCAGAATGCTTGCTCTTGGACAGGAGATCGCAGCCTACCCCAGCCGTCGGGTCCGCACTCTCAACAGGCCACAGTGCCAGCAGACAGAATAAGGTGATAACTGTACAAATTTCAGGAGCCTCAGTGTCTCTGTTGCTGGAGGTATCAGTCAGGCTGTTCTGGGGGTCTTCTGCTGCTATTTTTCGTGATTTTAATATCTTTAAAGCTAGTGCTGGCAGGAGCTCCCTGCTTGAGAGTCAGGCCCCACCCCCCAAATATTTGTTATTTTATGTTAAAGAAGATAATCCAAAAACAGATTATTAATTTTAACACTGGAATTTTAACCCAAGACTCACTGATAATTCTCCTGAATGACTAACCATTGAAAATGTCAGTTTGCTCGAAGTTTCAAAAGACTAACTGCTTTAGGACGTAAAATATTCAGCCATTTCCCCCTCTATAGCAAAAAACACACAAACGAACACCTTTAAATAAGTGTTCTGATTAAATAAATTACTTAGCTTCAATCAATCTGCAGCCTCCCAGGATCGTTATCCACAACAAACGATCTTAACATATGCAAAGAACCCCAGACAGAAATGGGATACGGCTGTACAATCTATAAAGGGAACATATAAAGGAAAAAAACACAATAGTGTAATACAGTAAATACAATGAATAGTGCGCTTAAATGGATGCACTCACAAGATGATGAAGATAGAAAAGCATTCATAGGGTGCCTCCCCAGATAGCATAGGGGGCTAGTGGTTTCCCCCTTTCCGATGTAGAGCGACCAATGGAACACGGGACTCCAAGTAAATAGTAGTAGAAAAGCAATACTTTTATTTTCTTAAAAGGTGAACAAGCACCATAAGAATAAAGGTTTAAAAGTGCAGCAATAGGTCCAACGCGTTTCGTTCAAAACTAGAACTTCATCAGGGACCGCACAGTAAAAAAATCACAGACAATATCATAGATTGTAAAATAACATCCTACTTTCCCCTTAACAGAATCTCTATATATAGGGCTAGTGCCAAAGTCCCATTGGTCCATGGTGTAGGAGTATCCAGTAGCCAGCCATTCATCTATCCAGGGGTATTGTCCTCCAGCTGATAGTGTTTGGGTAGTTTGAAAAGGGCGCGTTCA